GCTCTTGGGCAGAATCTTGATCACAAGAAGACTCTGAAGGCAAAAATGAAGTGTCGGGAGAACTGAGACTCCTGAGATGCACCAACAGTAGGCAAGAAGAAAATGGACTGTCTCTGGGTGACTTCTAAATTGTGGAATGATTCATAGGCTGTTCTTAATGTTATGGTTTTGTTTTTGGAGAGTCTCTACCTCATTTGAACATTTGAAAGGTTGTTTATAAATGGCGTTCATAATATGTTCGTCCCAGGCTTATGCATTCATTGCTTTAAATTGAAGTCTTTGCTTAGTGTACTGTTCTCAATTCAATTAGGCAGCGCTCTTGTGATTCATCATCTTCCAAGTTTTAAAGTGGCAAGTAAGTGTCGAGCGAAAACCACATTTTTAGGGTTGACGTAAATTGCGTGCAGCAAGTTTATAGCTTCCTCATAAGAAGGTGAGTCTACCTGTATACAGAGGTGGACAAATAGTTCGATATCAGCTTTATCTTGTCTGTTCGTCACTGATGGTCCTCCATTTTAAGAGTTTCTACGAAGTTTCCGAACGTTAAAAATCTAATGGGTCCATTGTTCAGCAGCTATGGTATGGTTAGCGTCGAAAGTTTGTGGTCTCATGCAATGTTCCATATTAAAATTCTAAGTTGAATAAATAGTAGTGTTTAAAATAACACAGGTGTAACTTAACTAAAGCTTTATTCAACTTAGAATGAAGTGTTGCAGATGTGTGTTGAGAGGAATAGAAGGTTTGAATTATCAGAAGGTTTAAAATTGTGTGTGTTCAATAATCTTCCATCCACAACAATTAATACAAGATAGAGAAATAATGATTCATAAACATCTTGTTTCAAAACATTTGAATTTATTAATATTTGGTATACATGCATGAATACCGAGTGAAAAGGTCAGACAGAGTTGTGTCTCTTAGATTAGGTAAATATTTGTATTCAAGCTCATAAAGTGAAAGTAATTATTAAACTGTAGTTTAGAAGAATAAAGTTTCTTTAGCATGTTTGGAATTGTGTATTGTACAAGTTGGTAAAAGTTCAGAAGAGATTTCAGAGTTCGTACTTGTGTGAATGTTGATAATGGTCTTTAATGTCTGATTGCATTAGTTAAGACAGGAGTTCTTGAAGATTACATCTTGGTACTTGGTAGCAAGGAATGAGACACGAGAGAGAGAGATGTATGAAAAGAAACTCGAGGGAGTTTACACATGTTGGGTTTATATATCTGCCTGTATCATGTGATAGGATCAGAATTGACTTGGCTCCTAAATTGACTCTGCACGTGAGAGCGATCTGATTGGTTGAAACTGACCAATCAGCAAGTTGGATGTACTGTGATTGACCAATGGTTTCTCATTGATATTTTGTATGAAAGTAGGATGTTACTTACCAGATAGGAAGAGAGCATTTACCAAAAAGAGGTAAGGCTGGTTTGTTGTGGAAGATTCTACAGAAGTGTATCCTACTGGACTTAAATACAGAATACATATAAGGGGGATAATCCATACCAAATATGTAAAGCAAAGATTTAAAATAATATACCATCAATTCTTGCATATAAGTTAATTTTTTAAGAGTTTTTTAGTCCAGAATGAGGGATTGTCTTGTACATGGGTCACAGATTTTGTTTTAGATTAAATTCCATTCACAATGGAAGTGCTACATACAACTGTTAATTTTGGAGATGAAAAAGTCATTCACCAGTCACTACCAGTAAACTATAAAGACATCAAATAAATTACAATTAGTAAAGATGTGGTACTACATTTGACACACCAACTTTTGTTAGATTAACTTGTCACACAACATTTAGTAAAATAAGAAATCAGTCCCAAAATAATTAACTTCTGTTTTCGTCTTTATCTACTAGGATTAATTAAGTCTGACACAAAGACACCGTAGAGGAGCACCCAATGAATATCAAGATCACTAGCAATGGGCAGCAAGACTAACCTATTAACAATTGTACTTCATCAAGTATCTTGACAAGTTATAAAAGCTGATCAAGTGGTAAACATTCTTGGGTTAAATTTCTCTACTACAGATAAACACCCATATCATATCACACAAAAATTCATTCAACATTTAGCCATTCAAAAGCTAAACAGTAAATAGTTTCTCTCTTTTTCTCCATTTTCTTTCTCTTCTTGTGTATTTGTTAGTAACTTTTCATGAATGTGAATGTGCATCAGCTTTAAAAAGGGTGCGTATATTATTGCAAAGTACAGTTGAGTGGATTAAATCTGAAGATCTATTTGGAATTCTGGATTCCAAGGCTAAGATAAAAACATTGAAAGGAAATACAAATACTGGAATTTGATGTTTTAGAAAAAAATCAATTAAAATGCAAAGAAAATTTAAAAAAATATAACACTTCTGAATTCATGGAAAATAATAATTTCCCCATCATATAAGATTAAGTGTTTCCCTCAACTAAAACACTATATACAGAGTGTAAAGAATAGATTTTCATCTAAATTATGCAAAAATTAAAATGACACTGACATCTCAGATATATTTTCCAAAATTACACAAATATATCTTGAAATACGAAAGAGTAAATTTATTCCATAAAATCTCCATTGGCATCAACCACAACCTCCAGATGACTTCAGAATCTCCTGCAACTCTTCTAGACAGTCTCCTTGTTTAAGTTGATGAATACTGCCATAATCCTTGCCTTCAGTTTATCTGTCAAAAGGAGTTTTGTTGATCTCTTACTCAACTGTGCCTCACACATAATAATCAAGAGGTTTGCAATCTTAGAAGTTAGGTGGCCAGATGTAAGGGATGATGTGTTTGCAGAAATTGGTGACAGGCATGACTGGGTTTTCCTGCTTGTGTGTGGCATGGTGCAGAGTCCTGTTTCCAGATATAGGGTCTTTCAGCAGCGACCGTCTTAACCCAGGGAATGACTAACTCCTCAAGGCACTTGATGTAGGCCTCAGTGTTGAGTCTGAGGCCCTCAATAACAAATTTAGGAGTTCTTTTCTTATTTGAACAATTAAAGTGAGTTTTCCAATAGGCCATACCTTCATAATCACCATTAGACTCATCCAACTCTTTCCGAATCCTCTGCACTATCCTCAGATTACCACCTAAACACTCTGAAATGTTTGTATTGGAGCTTCTGGCATAAATGTACAGATTCCAAATTTCTGGTGGAGTGAATTGCATCATGGTGCTCTCTTTCTCACAGATGGTGCCCAACTGACCCTACTATACTGTACAGTCAACAATATAAAAAACAAAAAATGTGCATGTGCAAGATTAAAAATATGAAATGGTGACAATTTACCCATCGCTTCCTGAAAATACAACATGGCATTCTCTGTAATGGTATAATGAATAGGAAGCTAAGAAAAAATATTTTAGGCAAATAATATATACATAAGAAACTATATTATTTTTTTTAATAAGATGACTTTGTACTGCTTATATGTTCCTAGCACTTATGGTAGACAAATATATTTCAAAACAAATGATTTCAAAACAATTCTTTTCACTTGATCCCAAATGATAATCACCAGAAACATTTGGTATGATGATATTTTCCAGATTCTTTCTGTCAATGCTCAGAGTTGTCATTATTATTATTGTTATAGTAATAATAATAATAAGAAGAAGAAGACTAATTGAAATGATATAGTATACAGCAATGTCTAAAGTCTGCATGAATACTGAGCTTTTACAACATTTCACCATATATATGTGGGATATTTACTGACAAAAGTGAGGGAAAGAAAAAGAATCTAAATGAAATTGGCTAGATAAAAAAAAAGTATTTAATTTTAAATTCTCAGCATCGCTCGCTTGTGCACATGTATATTTGCACCAACATAACAAATTTAGTGCAATGAAGTCCTAAAGGATGAAACGTGTCACAAAAAAATTTTTCCACTTTTATAAAAAAAATGCTTGATAAGACATGCTGATAGGGAGATAGATCCATTTATCTCGTAATAATAGGTAATAGCGAAATTTAGGCAACAAATTGAATTTAGGCTCCAAAGCTGAGAGGCTTCAAGACCAATTAACTAAACAGATGTGTTTTAGCCTACACCAAGAACTGGCAATGCTGGCTACAAACAAACCTGAATAATACAAGGACAAGTAGTCATCGGAAGAAGAATATGAGCAGCATTAGATAAGTGTTTCAATCAATTTCAAACAGATACATGTATTTGGATTGCATCCCCAAAGCCATGACTTTAACTGCTAAAGAAATACAATTAAGCAATTCTCTTTTCTTTTTCTCATTGTATAATGTATTTTTAATATAAAGTATGCCTTTTAAGCTGTTCAATTGTCTTATCTCTGTTCATCTGTCATGACTCAATTGGGGAGTCACTAAATTTCCTACACTTTGTCATACATTTTTCCTCAATATGGTTCCTGATATATAAAATAAATCGTTATCTCATATATATATGTGTGTGTGTATGTGTGTGTATTACACATACAAACACGCACATATATATATATATATTTATGCATATATATATCAATTTGTAAAAATGTTAGCATTTCACAAATGATTTCGAATCATAACCACTGAAACATGTCAAAGTAGATGTTATGGGTTCAAACTGTTATATATTTCTCACTATTTTATTCTTATATCTACAACTAACTCTGTTTCTATCACACAAATTATCTATTTTTCTTTGCATATACTATATTTGACAGCATATCAGATACAATTATTTTTCAAAAGAATTATTAAAAATTGTCCAATATCTTAGCCTCTCATAAGTTAATTTTATCATCCACTGTTCACTAGGTACATTTTGATATACATATAAATCTAGGAAAATTATTTGGCCTACTACATGTTTCATCAAGAAATACTTCTTTAAAAAAATAGAAAACAAATCTCTACTCTAGGTCATTTATAAAAGTCAATCATGTTAAATATCTCCAGGCAGTCAGGCAGAACACGAAATAGCTTGTTGACTTAAATAGAACATTTGCTTGAATTCCATGTCATAGCATCACCATGTCAAGTGAATGTAAAGACGAATCATCCCCTAAGCAGGGAAACAAACATGAAAGATTTGTTTATAAGAATTTGGGAAAATCAGGACTCAAAGTATCAAATATATGTCTTGGAGGATTCACATTTGGAGAGGTAAGAGTGGATTTTAACAATTTTGTTAACTGTCACATTTTTGCATGTATAAAGTTATATCTTTGTAATTATGAGCAGGTACAGAAAAGTTTTTAACAGAAAACATCTTTTCTAAATATCAGATTTTTTTAGAAGGGCTTCATGATGGAACAAAAACTTGTAAAAGGAAATACTTCCTAAAGCATGTTGGACATTTGTAGATGATTTATAAATTTTTTTAACTAGTATTTGTTCCATCATAATTTCAGTGACTTTTTATGACAAATCTCACACTGTCATCCAACAATACTTATCAAATAGATCATATCAAGAATAAAAATATTGTAAGGCATTTGGTGAATATTACATTATGTGCCGCATACAGATACATAACTGGGACTACTTGATACTTGGTTGTTGTTCTTGTGCAATTATCCATATAAATAATAATAAGAATAAAATTAGTATATACACTAATATATAGTATGTACATATATATGCTACACACACACACACACACACACACATACATATATATTTATGTGTGTGTGTGTGTGTGTGTGTCTATATTTCTGAGATGTGGTATTATGCACACTATTTACATTATTCAGACTATTGTCCTCATGTTTGTTGCCATATTTATCACAATGTTTCAGCCGTTGTATGCTCAGGCCATCTTCAGGTGGTTGGAATGTCGAACTGAACCCTTTATTTTGCTCACTGGGGTAGCCTGTTCTAGTTCCACGTGCCATGTCTAATGGATGTCAGTTATCAGTTATCTTCTGTTAATTCACCTCTCCAAGTTCTCCACTGCCTTAACCAGGCGTTGAACTCCATTAGATGTGGAACTAGAACAGTGAGCGAAATAAAGGGTTCAGTTCAGGCCGGAGTGTACAACAGCTGAAATGTGATAAATATGGCAACAAAGATGAAGACAATAGTTCAAATAATGGAAATAGTATATATATTTATATGGAAATCATTAACATGACATATCTACAGAAATTCCACAATATTTTTGTAAATTTTTTACATCATAATCTTATACAACAATGACTTTTCTTTTTTGAAAAATTTGCATCCATGTTCTTACACTGTTTCACCATTCTTCCATCATCATAATGTAGGATATTTAATAACAAAGATGATGAGAACATAAAGAATCTAAATGAAATTTGCTAGATTATATACCCAAAACACATTTAAAAAAAAAATTTCTAAATTTAAAATTCCCAGCGTCATTTATTCATGCGCATATGTAGTTGCATCAATGTAAACATTGTCCAATGAAGTTTTAAGGGACAAAACACGTCACATTTATTCTTATATGCACAACTATCTCAGTTTCTATTATTGAACTTTTACTTACCTATCTATATATATTTCTTTGCATATAATATAATTGACAGTATATAAGACACACTTATTTTTTAGAAAAATGGTTCAAAAAATTGTCCAATATCTTACATGGAAAGGTGAGGGCTCCCATAGGATAATTTTATCTCTAAATGCTCACTATATATCTTTTTTTGGATATAATTTTCCAATGTGGATATTTCAGCTTTTAAAATAAATCTAGGCAAACTTGTCTGACCTAATACATGTTTATTGTTTAACCATCAAATTCTTACTTAAAAAATGATAAAAATATAGGTTATCTATAAAAGCCTCATTATTCCCAGGCAGGCAGAACATAAAGTTGCTCTGTGACTTGAAAGGATCGTCTGGTTGAATTCCACGTCATAGCATCACCATGTCAAGTGAATGTAAAGACAAATTATCCCCTAATCAGGGAAACGAACATGAAAGATTTGTTTATAAGAATTTGGGAAAATCAGGACTCAAAGTATCAAATATATGTCTTGGAGGATTCACATTTGGAGAGGTGAAATTAAATTTTATCAATTTTGTTAACCGTCACATTTTTGCATGGATAAAGTTTTATTTTTGTAATTATGAACAGGTTTTGGCTGAGAGTTTTTTGACCGGACAATGTTCACTGGAAGAGAGGAGAAAGACGTTTTCTTATATTGTTTTCTTAGTTTTATTTTGTTTATTCCATACTCAATTTTATTTAAGTGTATTTATTTTTATATGGGTAAATGTATATTTTGGCTTGTAATCATCATTTGCTACCTTAAACACTAAACAGTCTGATCAAAATTTGGACTTATTTGTACATATAAATCTCACCATAATTTAAATGATATTAATTCCTTGCTCTATTTTGTTTTGATAGAAGGTACTTGAACTTATATTATGTTAAAACTTAATAGATAATAATATACTGCCAGTTCCACAACTAACTCTACCCTAACGTATATATTCGAAACTTGTCTCCATAATTTCATTTATTATTTATTTACATTTTCCTGATTGGAATTGTGCTTCCGGTTCCTTCTATAGTCTACTTCCAACTCTCTACTCGATAATATTTCCACATGAATGCCAAAATCTTATTCACTAATTATTTTTTTTCTCTCTTTCCTCTTCCAATACAATTAAATAAGTTCACCTATCCAATTCACACTTCTTCCTGGTTCAAATCTCTATTTCTAACATCTTTGCCTGAACTCTTTTTATTCACTAATTATTTATCTAATTTTTTTTCTCTCTCCACCCCAACAGAAATAGATAGGCTCACCTAACATCCGGGTTATACTCCTCCCCAGTTTTTTTTTACCAGGGATAGAGGTTTATCTCTTGTTTCTTGTTTGGGTTTCCAGTATTTCAGCTATGTACGTCTGACATCTCAAAATTAAATCAGAAATTTTATTCTGTAAATATTACTTTTTTTCTCCCCTAATAGTAGTAGATAGGTTTGCCTATCATCTTGTTCACACTTTTTCTCCAGTCTTTCAAACAGAAGTAGAAGTTCATCCCTTGTTTCCTGTTTAGGATTGGGTTTTTCCTTCTAAAACCTATTTGACTCTATACTCCTAATGTCACTGCTGAAATCTGAAATTTTATTCACTAATTAAATCTTGGGCTCTTCAAGTCTAGAATTAGCTATCTTTCCTGTTATCTTGCCCTTTCTTACACTAATACAACTCCACCCAGTATTGCTCTACCTTGAGTAGCCCTTAGGCTTTGTATTGGGTGAATATTAGTAAAAAAAAAAATGTTGAAAAGTTCTTTTTTTGGAAATATTCAGAAATATGATTTAATTTTTTTCTTACTCGGTTTACTAAACAGGTTGTTGATTTTTTTGAAAAAAAATTGAGTTGAAAATAATTCACTAAGAGCTTTCGAGAAAAACAAAAAAGCGGTCATTGATCAGAAAGATAAACCAAGAATTTTTAAAACAATTGAAGAATAGAATTAGAAATAATAAAAGAAAGAAAGGAAAAAGACATTTTCAAAATATATAGAAAGACACCTTATCAATTTGGATAAAGGGAAATTTTGGGAACAATGAAAACGAAATCTTAATCAGAAAAAAGTGTCTTTTGGGTTGAGGGGAGTGACCGGTGGAGCGATATACAGATTCTGACCTGTTAAAAATTAGAACCCCCACATTGACGAGGGAAAGATATTTTCAATGTAGATAATTAAGATTTTCTGACTGTCGGGTCTGACCAAAAGTTGAAAAAAAAACGATTGTCTCAGAACAATATTCTTTCCTGAAGTCACAACTAATTAGCGGCGGGCTGGTTTGAGAGAAAGCCAAGATTGGACGTGCAGAAAAGGCAAAATTGGATTTTGTTTTTTTAAAACAAACGATGTAACCACGCCCGAAAGGAGGAGAAAGGATGTTCGATCAATAACAATTGGTCGAAACGGTCACGTGATCTGCGTGAAAGAAGAAAAAGCAAAATGCCCGATCAGGAACCATTGGTCGAAAAACGGTCACCTGACATACGAGAGACTAAGAAGATGGGTGTGCACCTCCCCACAAAAGGTACTGTGGGAAGTTTGCAAATGGGAAATCAAAAATAATGCGACAGAAAAGACGCCGACAGACCCACCCCAGTTTTCAATAAAAGCAGGAAGTATTTGTGGAGTTGCAGCTGAATGCGGGCAGGGAAAGAGCCTGAGCGGGCATCAGGCCCGATTCATTTTTGTGGGGATAAGAAATCCTTCCAGCCCAAGTCGAAGACAGAAGAGTTCAGCCCGGACGGCAGCGAGAAGAACCTCGGACGACAGAGAGTTGCGGCTGAGTTGCGGCAAGAGATCCTTCCAGCCCAAGTCAAAGACAAGAGAACTTCCAGCCTAAGTTGTACAACTGAAGAAGAATCAACTTGACTGATAGAAATTAGCCCCAGTGTCGAACCAAACCACACTCCGACATACACAAATTGAAATCTTTATTGATAGTGAAAATTGAGAACAATTTTGTTTTTTATGTAACGGACATTAAGATATAAAGGTTGTTACCCATTTTTTTTTTTTCATCAGCAATCTTAAGTTTATTTTTTCTCTTTTATTTGTGTTTTGCCACCCCGTCGGACTATATAAGTATTCTAAGATCTAAACACAGCGTGGGTAGACTTACAGTTGCTTTAGTGACCAGGTATTGGAAGCGAGTCGGGAAAGGCGAGGCTGGTGATCATCTGACCAAGGGGTTACGCTTATGCTGGCCGTAACCAAAGGAACCGGGGCCAGGTGTGTAACCGTCACAGAAAAGCTTTAGATTAAACCAAGAACTTTTCAGAACCGCTGCTTGCATATAATATATTTACCTATGATAATTTTATATAACATTTTAACAGAAATTTAGTTGAAATTTGTAGATGAGTTTTTAAAGTATTTGTCCCATCATACATACATTCTCACACTGTCATAATGAATATTTCAATAGTTTGTTGTTGATATAAATTCATTGTAGTGAAAATGAACGCAGGTGTAACTTAACAATGATATAAAGTGAATTTTGGAATAACTTATTTTGAAATTTATTGAGTTTTAAAAGCACATACATTCATAATATTTGATATAAACAATGATATAAAGTCTATATTGTGCATCCAATATAGACTTTTGATATAAAGTCTATATTGGATGCACAAGCCATGAGTTCA